TCATTAAGTTCCTGTAACTGGGCATTCAATAATTTAATTTTGCCAATGATTAAAAAAAAATAGAGAGGTCAAACTAAGTAGTTTCCAAAGTAGGTCAAGGAAAGGCAAATCAGACCAGCTTCAAAGGTGCTGTGCTCAAAGACAGAGTTTGTTCCAAAGGCCAGTATCATAATCCTTTCCTGTAATGCACATCAGTTTTATAGTTTCTGAAGTGTTAACCACACACACAAAAAGAAAATCCTGATGAATTAAGAAAAATAAAAAATTATCAAGACACTGTAATGGATATTAAGTCACCTAATACAAATAAATGTACATCTTTACAGATTTTGATCAATTCGTTTTTCCTCTGAGTTAGTGCTCATGTCGAGAAGTGGCTTACCACCTATTCAGCAAGTTCTTACCATAACCCAGACACCAAGCCTAGAATAATTTTAGAAGGAAAATGAAAAATAAAAAAATTACTTTGACAAGTATATATTGCTGTGAGAAGTACTAGGCTTTAAATATCTGGGGATATAATATGTGATAAGTCTCTAGCCAGGAATTTTTTTTAACCTATTTACTTAGCTACAGGTGTAGCATGAAGATGAACTTCAAATACTGTGAGAAACCAAGTTTTGGTTCTCTCTCTTACATTTCATTGTGCTTCTTTTTTATTTAAAGAATTATTTTATTTTACTTACTTATTTATTTATTTATTTATTTTACTTTGACCAGAGAGGGACAGAGTAAGAGAGAGAGAAAGTGTGAAAGCAAACTTCCAGATCTGGAACTTGAACCATGGTCGGCCATGTGGGAGCCCAGCACCCTTAACCACCACGCCACTTGCTAGCCCTCAATGTGCTTCTTTTTAAAAATTATTTATTTATTTGGGACCATCAGGTGGCATAGTGATTAAGGCGCTGGACACTCCCTTATGGCCAACCACAACAGTTTAAGTCTTGGACCTCGTGGCTTTCTCGCTCTCATCAAATTAAAATAAATGAATGAATAAATAAAGTTAAATAAATAATTCTTTTAAAAAATGCTTATTTTATTTTATTTTATTTTATTGGGTGGTTGGGACAGTCGTAACATATTTTTGCATAGAAAAGCATTGAAAAATACATTATGACTTTCCTGATGACCTAATAATTTGCTATGGGGCACATACACTCACCAGAGAGAGACAGAGAGAGGGAAAGGGAAAGTGAGAATGCAAGCTGCCAGGTCCAGTACTCAAACTGCAGTTGACCATATGAGAATCCAGTACCTTAACCACCATGCCACTTGCTGGCCCCTCAATGTGCTTCTTTTTTACCCAAAGATAAATGTCTTAAACATCTTTTATGTTTGATAGCCACTTTATGTATTTAAATTATTCTCCAGCATTTGCTTCCAACTCTATTTGGACTATACTTGACATCATACAAAAACTTTAAGATGTGCTTACAACTTGTATGGAAGACATTGCAAGTGCTCATGTAATGGTATGTGCATAGAATTTGGGCTTAATCATTGAGAGCATCCAGAAGCTCTGATTTGTATAATTTCTTAGATACAGCCTTATAATTCTTAATAATGATAAGATTTGAGGACGTGCATATAATTTTTTTGGGGGGGAGGAGAGGTTTTTGCAATAGGATGGGTGTGCTCGCCAGACAGACAGAGAGAGACAGACAGAAAGCGAGAAATCACCCCCTAGGGAGGATGGCCACGCCTCAATCCCTTCTCCTCCATCCTCCTCTCGGGATCTTGGGCACGCACGCACATGCACCCGGCGTGAGTTTTAAGCCACCGGGTCTGGGACTCGAACCACAGTCGACTACATGGGAGTCCAGTGACATAGCCATTACACTAACTGCTGGTTCCAGGAAGTGCATATAATTTTTAAGAGTGAGATGGGGTATGGACCATAGTTTTTAGTTGATTTTTTTGTTTGGCTTTAACTAGCCATCATTGCTTTAGGGACTATTTCTTTTACACTTTGGAGCTCGGTCATCCCCAACAGGCATTAAGCAGCCTATATTCTCACTCAGCAGTGGGTATGGATACTTCATTTCAGAGTCATAGAGCATGCGAGAGACAAATAGCAATATTTGCACTGTGCCATGTATCAGCAGGCGTTTCTGGATCATTACAGTGATGTCTCCTCTCCCTAAATAATTTTTACAAATATACTGATGAAGACAGATTTCTGTTATCTGTCTTTGATGGGTCATAAGTTGAACTAGCGCTATATTTTTTCCTGTAAATATGCACAGTTTTGACATGGTGTTTAATAGTCTTAAGCTTACTGCTGCCAAAATAAACACAGCTGTAAGAAATGATGACCCTCTCATCTTTGTAACAATAAAATGGCTTTCTAATATGCTATCCTAACTCTGAGTGTTAAGTTAATATTCCCTTGGATTTCTGAACCCCATCCTCCTCTCCCCCTTGGAAAGCCCATGAAGAATACAGCTTTTGACTAAATGACAGAGCATAGAAGATGAAATTAGTTGCATTAAATTAGAATATGACAAAAAGCCTTTCTAAATCTTCATCACAATGCAACAGTCAAGCAACACTAAACCAAAGAGAGTAAAAGTAGACCAAGGAAGAGAGTTAATATTTTTAAAAGAAATTCTGCAAACTAGATCACTTGCAAATTTGGAAGCATCATTGGTAGATAGCATGTGGGCTCTGACAGTTTCTAACTCGGGGATGCCACTCTACAATCATATGTGCAGTCTCTTCTTGTTTAATCTTTGGATATAAAATGAACTGTTACAGTGTTTTCTTGGCTTTCTTCTATTTCTGAAAAAAGCAAGTCTCCATTGCAAAAGGCTGCATTCAAGAAAATAATAGGAAAAAGCATGAAGACCAAGTTCCACATTTCTATGCAGTGTTTCTTGTTTTCCTACATCTATGTATTTAAACAACAGTGCACATTTTGTAAATTAGCATTAAGATGAATTGTCTTCTAAAAAGAGAAAGCAAAAGCTTCCCTTCTATCACAACTCAGTTTACTTTCTTTATTTAATTATTTTTTTTTTCTCCTGAAAGATCTGATGTTGATGTTGAAATCTACCGTGTTAGGTTGTGGGAAAATAAAAGCGTCTGATAGGGTTAATCTAGCTACATAAAGGTCCATGCTGGTTATAGTCATAATCTTGATCTTTGATTAGATCTAAGCTAGTAATATCTTGTGATTAATCAAAATGGGGTGCACTGCACGTAGTCATCTTCACAGATGGGCTGGAGATTCAGCATTCTTTGGAATATTTGTTTTAATCCCTTCTAGGATAAAATGGCTTTGTTTCCGCTTTATTTATTTATTTTTTCCCCCACTTTAAATCAGATTGAGTTCACCAAATAAACGATTGGGAAGAAATTTCAATGGGCAGTTTGCTGGGATTATAGATCCAAAACATGTTTCTTAATTCATAGTATTTTAAGTGTGCTTCCCATGTTTAAAGATGGTCAAATTATTAGTAATGTTTAATAAATAATTCTATTCGTAGTTTGAATAAAAAACTTCATAAGAGAATATATCAAAAAATACCTCATGGAAATAATGTTGAGGTTTTTCTTGCTCTCAACAGCATAAGAGTTTTTAAGTTATTCTAATTGTCTCTTTTCTGATTATGCAGTTCCAGTCTAATTGACATGTGATAACAAAGAGCTTTACTTTGGCAACTAAACTACCCAACCCCTAACACCCAGAGCACGGCAAGAGCTCTCAGATTGACGCACGGAATGTTTGCTGAGTGTCTGTCAGCTCAGGCAGTGAGTGAGCTGCTTTGATGGAGCTTTGACACTAGATTCAGGTTGACTATCTCGCATTCCCAGAGGGGTCAGAGTGCAGCTATGGGATTTTATGCTGCATCCTGGTACACGTGTGACTTTAAGCAGTTTTATAACTTCGGGCAAATTTTTAACTGTTCAGATATTGACAACCTTAACCTATAAAAGTTAAGGATTGCTAAAGTCCCCAAGGCACCATCTAGTTCTAAACTCTGTGATCAATCCATTCAGTGAAAATCTACACAATCGACTCTTTAATATAACTTGCCTATCCTAAAGAACACATCTCCATGTACTGTACTAAGTACTTGTAAGAGGTTTTAAAAACTTCAAATTCTATAACGCATCAATCCCCTAAACCTTTAATGTATACGAATATGAATAGACAGCCAGCAGGTGGCATGGATGTTAAAGCAGCTGGAACCCACAGGGCCAACTGCACTGTTCAAGTCTCAGATCCAGTAGCTTGAAAAAATCACATCGGGTACCTGTTCGTGCATGCCCAAAATCCCAGGAGAATGGAGAAGAGACTGTGGTGTGGCTATCCCCGCTTGGGAGTGACCTTTCACTATCTCTCTCCCTTGCAAAAGAAGAAAGAGCTCAGTGTCACGAATGGACCCAGCAGCTGGTGGGATTGAAATAGAAACTTCTTTCTAGTGATAAATAAATTTTTTAAATTAACATAAAATCAGAGCTGACCATTTGTTTTTTATCAGCATTATACCAAACCAATGATTTCATAGAAAAAAGTATATCAGACAGCTAATTTAGTTTCCAAAAAAGTCCCTCAGTCAGAGACTCTTCAGGTCTACAGATGCCTCTTTATAATTTTGAGAAATATCATATGAAATAAACAGATTTTCACTTAACTGTCAAGCAGTAATTGGAGCCTTGCAAAACACAATTTCTCAAAAAAGTTACCACCAAGCTGAACTGTCTACCCCAGAGTACATGTAATACAAGACTTAGTAAACACAGGTTTATATGAACACTTATATAAATACATGATTACATAAGAATCATTGAATAAGAGAATTGAAAAAAGATAGGCAACTTTTGCAGTCTACTTTTAACTGGAAAAAATAGTCCACATGTATTATTAGGTTGTTGGGAAAGTCATGACATATTTTTCTATGCAAAAATGCACCATGATTTTCCTATAAGCCAGGAAAATAAGAATGGTTTTATTTTTCTCTTTTTTTAAATTTAAAATTTCTTTTTCCTTATAGAAGACCTGGTGAACCTCCATTGGTAAATGGTTGGCTTCCTTATCTTGGAGTGAGCCTGAAATTCAGGAAAGATCCCTTAGGTTTCATCAGAACTCTTCAAAAGCAACATGGCGACATATTCACCATTCTCCTCGGAGGTATGAGTGCTTCTACAAGGACATTACATGTGTCGTGATTTTTTACTTGATCTTTAATGTCTTTATACTTTTTTTCTAGGCAAAATGTGAATATTTATTATATATTATTGTTTTATTTGTAATGCAATACCCAAAAAAAAGAAAAAAAACTGTTTTTGAAGTAACCTTCACATTAAAAACAATTTACTAAACTTTTTCCTTGGCACCCTGGGGTTACATTATCCTGCCATCACCTGTCATCTTAGCTTGTTTTGGCCTAGTTTTAAGAATAGGAAAAGTGGGGTCAGCAGTTAGCGTAATGGCTATGTCACTGGACGCCCATGTAGTCCACTGCAGTTCACGTCCCAGACCTAGCGGCTTAAAACTCACACCAGGCACGTGTGCATGCGTACCCAGGATCCCAAGAGGAAAATGGAGTTGAAGGAATTGCCGCGTGGCCATCTCCCCTGGGGGGTTATTTCTCTCTTTCTGTTTTTGTCCGTCTGGCGCCCTAAAGCAAAAACCTCTCCAAAAAAAAAAAAAAAATAGGAAAAGAGGGCCAGAAGGTGGTGTGGTGGTTAATGGTGGTTAAGCTGCTGGACACCCACATAGCTGACCACAGTTTGAATACTGAACTGGGAGGCTTGCTTTCTCACTTTCCTTCTCTTTCTCTCTCTGTCTCTCTCTAGTGAGTGCATGTGCCCTATTACAAATTTAATAATAATAATAATAAATAAAATTAAATAAGCAATTCTTTTTTTTTAAAAAAAAAAAAAAAAAGCCCTTCATTTAGTAGAGTATTTTTAGGTTGACCGAAAAGTTAGCATATAGTTCAGAATTTTCATATCCCCATGCTTTTGTATTATAGTTTCCCGTACTATTAACATCTTGTATGCATGTAGTCTATTCCTTACAACTGATGAGACAATGTTGACATATGATTAAAAGTCCATGACTGGGCCAGCCTGATACCTAGTGGTTAGGACACCTGGATCTACATGGTCAATCATGGTTCAAATGCCAACCCAGCAGCTTGAGAGATGCCAGGCACATGTACAGGAGTGCCCCAAATCCCCACGGGATTGAAAAATGAAAGAGGAATTGCAACATGACCACACCCTGTTGGGGGCGCTATCTCCCTGTCTCGCTGGGGCAAGTGCACTTTGGCAATTAAAGAAAAAGTCCATAGTTTACATGAGAGTCTATCCTTCATGCTGTGCAGTCCTTTGGGTTCTGACAAATACCTAATATCATCCACCATTATGGTATCCTACAGAATAGTTTCACTGCCCTGAAAAGGTGCTGTGCTCCACATA